AAAAACATTTACAATGAAGCGGCCATCTTCGAATAACTTCTTATACCCTCCGTCAAGAACATAAATTTCTTTATAATCAAGCTCGGGATATCTATACTCATTCCTTGAACGGTCCATGTTCCGCAAAAATTCAGCGCTGAAACACAGCGTTAAATCAAAAATTAAGCAATTTGTTTTTAAATTGTCAAATAATGTAAAGAACCACCTGAAAACGATTTGTCTCTGTTCTAGGTGGTGGCCCCATTGCTCATACCGATGGTAATGAAACAGAGCCACATTTATTAAATTAGTGTTCAATGGGTTCACTAAGCAAAAAAAATAGGGCCACCAAACTGAAAGACTCTAAAAATGCCATATTAGAATATTATAGATAAACAAAATTCCTGGAAAACAATTTCGAGGAAGAAAATGGCTGGGGTAAACCAAGGAATTTCAGGAGGTTTCAGAACGCCAATGATATAAAAAGATATTGACGCTTCATTTTAACTGAGAAAAAAAAATGAAATGATCTACTTCGCCCGGCTGGCAAAAAGATCAACATTTTTGTACTAATTTTACTATCAACACAACTTTTTGAACCAGGAGTGAACAATCCTCGAAAAAACCGAAACAAGAACTCTAACAATTTCTTAAAAGGTCTCGGGCCAGCAAGTTTAATAATAAAATTTTAATTATAGCTGTATGCAGAATTGCACTACGTATTAAAGGCAGTGTTAATGAAAGTCAAGAAAAGAAACGATCCAAACAAAAAATGCAACTTATTCATCTGAATGTGCAAGATTCTGACCTGCATTTTAACCACTAGTCTCAACGAGTTGACAAAGTCACACTTTATTTAAAAAATAAGAATTTTTAAAAATCATTATTATTTTTAAAATAAAAATTGCTTTTCAAAACAAAAAGACGCTAACGCTGACGGTCCACGTTTTTGAGAATATTCGCAGTAGAATATTGGTACTCTTGCCACAGCTTTGTTAAACAACTCTTCATCCTTGGGATAAAAAATATCTTTCAGTCGCCTCGGTTCATACACGTTAATCGCAGTCTGAAAGCAGTACTTAGTGGTATGGTAAAAAAACGTGGTACAATTGTTAACCAAAATCCAGGGTGGATACTTAAAAAATTACCGTAAAAAATTTTCTTTTGTCCCCGCACCTCTCAACTTTGATCTAACCTCCTACTTTCAAAATCAAATAACAGATTTAAACAAACACACCTTTACGTGTCCTGCGTTGTATTCATACGGGTATCTACAGTCAATGATAATAAAACTCTCTGTCAAACTTTCTTCTGAAATAGACCGCATCAGCCTAGCCAACTCTTCTCCACAAATGCTTTGAAAAGCTGTTGAAGGAATCTGAGGCGTTTCCAAAGCTTTCAGGCAACCTGTCTGATTAGAAAAACAACGGTATTAATTAAGGTAACACTTCTAGCCATGACCCACATATGAGAAATAAAAACGAATTAATAATTAAAATACCATTTTTAGACGGGGTGTTAAAGGAGGTGGTCTACCATTATTTGAAAGTCTTTGATCTACAGCCTGAAATCTTGATTTATACCAAAATCTGTTCTGATGCGTCACATGAGCAGTCTACTTTCCCTAGCTAAACACAATAAAAGTTTCTTCGTCTATGATCTTGGGAAATAAAACATGTTACAAATTACTTTCATCCTTGACAAGCATCTCCTGTTCGCAGGAACACGAACTTTGGAAGCAGGACTACTTGGCGACTGACAATTGGTAATACTGCGAAACCGCTTTCTCTTTCGCCTAACGCGGTGAGCAGACACGGGTGTTGTATCAATTGCACTTCTAGAAAATAAGCACACTGTACAGTAATGCAGAACGCACGAAAATTAGACAAACTCAAGTAATCGCAAAATATGAAAGGCTAAACTGCATACGCAGAAGAATGATGTAAATAATCTGTCCAGAACAAATTGAAATAGTAACTAACTTACAAAGACGGACAACTAGGTCCCGCAGCTTGCGACGCTTCATCAGAACTGCGTGCATCTGAAGAACCCGAAGCTTCGTTCTCCAGTGACAACCTCTTAATATCTTCATTAAGCTCATCAGCATCCTGAATGCAAGAGTTTTATGCTACATAAAGCTGCCATAAAAAAGCATGAATTTAAGAAAAAAACGTACCTTTTCTTTTTGTGTTTCAATCTCACGATCTTCATCTGATGTCATCAATATGCTATTTAATGACGGAGGCGACTCATCGCCTTCTTTCTCGTCCTGCGGTTGAGAACTGTTGGACGAAGAAGAGGACGTCGAAGACAAAACTCGCAACAACATGTTAGTTCTAATAATTTGAAAAAGACTGCAATTGCAGTACACAGAATGAGAACGACCAATAGAACTGTAAAACCACTAAACAACAATAAAAAAGCAGACATAACTTAGGCAAGATGCTTTTTTTAGGCAAGATGCAAAATAAAGTTCTCATAAACTGCTAAACTGAAGCAACTGCTATAATACCAGAATGTTCGTACAATACCTTACGTTAATGAAAAATATATCGATAATGATCAGAAACTTAACAATTATGAACAATTTATGATGCAGCGTACGCTCACAGAAAAAGTACAACTCAGAACGCAGTAAACGCAATGTACGTCCACACTCCAAAGCAACATTCTTACCAACAAGAAATTTTACAGATAGGTGAAATACTTTAAAGTAGGCAAAATTTCTTTGTTATATATCAGTAAGACATCGCAAAATGCGCGAACTTCGCAGA